CAGGCTAGAGTGCAGTGGCACGATCTTGGCTCACTGCAACCTCCACCTCTTGGGTTCAAGTGATTCTCCTACCTCAGCCTCTGGAGTAACTGGGACTACCAGCGTGCGCCACCATGCCTGGCTAATTTTTGTATTTTTAGTAGAGACGGGGTTTTGCCATGTTGGCCAGGCTGGTCTTGAACTCCTGACCTCAAGTGATCTACCTACCTCGGCCTCCCAAAGTGCTGGGATTACAGGTGTGAGCCACCGTACTTGGCTGCACTTTCTTTATAGAACTAATTTTGTTTTCATTTTGATGATAAATTAAAAATAAATTAATATAAGCATATTCTGGGTTTTCTGAATGACTACCATACTATACAGATTTTAGTGCCAGTATTGTGTTTATATGGTTGCTAAGTGATCATTTACAGACCACATGTATGATAAATTTGCTGTATTGGAACTTATATCAGGTTAATATGTATTAATGTGAAACTAAGAAAATCACCTTCAACTTTTGTACTCATACTGAATTGTTTTGCCATTAAAAATGTCTTTTATAGTAGTAACTACAGATGAAAGCTGTTTTCATAGAACTTCCTGAGAAACAAATCTTATAAAGAAACTCTTAAAGAAACTTACGAAGAAATTTTAATTGCCACAGACTGATTAAAGAAAATAGGACTTATATGTAGAGTATGTGTTCAGGCCAATTGAAGCTTTATAAGATGTCATGGTTCCCTCTGAACAAAGTATTTCATGGAACCTTGGAGAGAGAAAAGTGATGAAGTGATGGGAGAGCGACTGATCATGTGGCTCACTCATAGGTGTGGGTGTAGGGGTGTTTGTGTGTGTGTGTACATGTATAAATGTATTTTTGTGAGCATCATACTGCATGAATCTCCATTTATCTCTGTAAATATCAACCTGTAACATTTATTAGTGGTAAGCACTGTGGCATTTTTATTGAATATTAATTTTTTAATTTTTATGTTGATATACACATACATTGTGAAATGATTACTATTATCAAGCTATAGTCACCATCCTGTACATTAGATCTCCAGAACTTGTTCGTCTTAGGGTGGCTGAACTTTGTACCTTTTAACTAACCTTTCCCTATTTCTTCCAACCCCTGAGCCCCTGGCAACTACCATTCTATTCTCTGCTTCTGAGTTTGACTTTTTTAGATTCCACATGTAAGTGAGATCATGCAGAATTTGGCTTTGTGGGCCTGGCTTATTTCATTTAGTGTAATGTCCCCCAGCTTCATCCATATTGTTGCAAATTGACAGCATTTCCTTTTTTTTTAAAGGCTGAATTTATTCCATTTTATTTATATACCACATATTCTTTATCCATTCATCCCTCAATGGGCACTTAGGTTGATTCCATATCTTTTACTGTTATGAATAGTGCTGCAGGGAACATGAGAGTGCAGATACCTCTTTGAGATACTGATTTCATTTCCTTAGGATCTATACCCAGAAGTGGGATTGTTGGATCATATGGTAATTACGTTTTAATTTTTAAGGAACTTCCATACTGTTTTCCATAATGGTTGTACTAATTCATACTCCTATCAACCAACAATGTACAAGTGTTCTCTTTTCTCCACATCTTTGCCAACAGTTATCATTTATCTTTTTGATAGTAGTCATCCTAAGAAGTATGAATATTATCTTTTTTTGGTTTTGATTTGTGTTTTTCTGATGATCAGTGATGTTGAGAATTTTTTCATATACTAGCTGGCCATTTATATGTCTTTTGAGAAATATCTATTCAGGTCCTTTGCTCGTTTTCTAAAATTGGATTGTTGTCTTGCTATTGAGTTGAGTTCCTTACATATTTTGGATATTAACCCCTAATCAGGTGTATGGTTACACATATTTTCTCCCACAGTTTACCTCTTCACTGCATTGCTTCTTTTGCTGTGCTAAAATGCATTTTGTGTAATAGTTTTACAATTCATAAAAGATTTTAAACAGATAAATAATCTGTAATACAACTGAAATTAGAAACAATAATAACCTAAGTGCTTTTTAAAATAAGGGCATCTATTGAATTGTAGTTAAGTTTGACTTTCTAGTCTTATTTGGTGACCTGGTATCTTATTAATGAAGATGTGCATTCTGCAGATCCTCGGAGTTTAGCTACATGTTGAACATAGAGGGTTGAATAATGTATGACCTGTAGTAGACTCAGATTCCCCTTTAAAGAAGGGTTTACTGCCTAGCTGTGAGAAATGTGAGATCCTGCAGGCCTCTCTTCCCCCGCCCTTGTGTTCCCCCCCAACCCCCCACTTTCCCGCCTTAGAGTCTGCCTCAGCTCTAGAGACATTTCCCTCTCCTCATGTCACAAACTCCCTGTATGCATTTCCAGACAGAGTAAGGCAGAGGTATTAAAGACCTGGCCATTTCAGCCCATCACAGAGCACTCTGATGGACAGTGCTTGCTTTAGAATGTCCTGTACGGTTGGCTGAAGTTATGTTGGGCTTGCATCACAGTTTGAGTTCTGCTCAAAACTGGTTTCTCTACCTTCCATTCACAGATGTTGATCCCTAATGAACATTTGTACCCCAGATACCATATTACCTCAGCTTCGGAGAAACCAGCCTGCAATAGCTCCTGATAGCATGGAACTAGTTTAATGGAAGGAAATATACATCAAACAAATTCAAAATGCGATCAACGTTATGTAGAAGCATAGGGTGCCATGGTAGTGTGTTATGGAAAGGACCAAAGGACCAATACCTGGCTAATTATACTGTTTGGGGAGGTAGCCTAGACTAGTAGTCAGAATATGAACCTTGGACATACTGCTTTCTTTCTCCAGGCCAGTTTCCTCATTTGTAATATGGGAATGACACATATTCTGTCATCTTTAGAAGCCTAGCCTGGGATTGCTCATGTGGTTAGGGAAAGATTCCCAGCGGTAAGAGGAAGCAGTGCACATTTTTTAAGCCTCTGTTTGTGTTGGTTTGCTGATGTTCCATTGGCCAAAGCAGTTTACATGGCCAAGGTGTGATTCAAGGATAAAGAAGTAGACTTGTATTTATGTTTGCATTTACACACACACACACACACACACACACACACACACACACAGCCTAAAAATTGCCAAACAAAATGTCTGTTACATAATAGTAGTAAAAATTTATTAAGTACTTTTTGTAAATAATGCTTACTAAGAGTCAGCTGGACTATTATTTAATATGTTCTATCTCACTATGAATGAAAAAGAAGAAACGCTTTTAAATAATTTGATATATTTGACATCTTAAAATCATTTTAATGATAGCACTTTGCACACAAAGTAAAGCTCTCTCTCTCTTTTTCCTCTACAGTAAGAAAAGTGGAAAACCACCATTACAGAACAATGAGGTAAAATTTTAAATCATCTTCTTTTTTGGATTTCATGCATTTATTTCATTAATTTTGTTATATGATTTTGATTTAGGATAAAATTTTATTAGTAGAGAACTTAAAAATACCTCCAGTCTTCTACATATTACAGGAAGTCTTTCTGAAATAGGACTCCTGACAAGTATCTTCTAGTATTTACTTGAAACTGTTTATTCAGTGGAAAGTGTTGCTCTGGGAGGCACCCTTAACTGCATTAGTTCTAGCCCATGATGACATTAATTTCCCCCCTTCTAGCTTCTTAGCAGTGACTGTTAACATCTTTTGTATTGGGATCCTGCCTCCCTCCCTCTTTCTCCTTCCCCTTACCTTCTCCTTTTCCTTCGTTTCTTTTCCCCGTCCCCTCTCCTCCCCTTCCCTTCTCTCTCCTCCCCTCCCCTTCCCTCTTCTCCCTTTCCCTCTTCTCTCCTCCCCTCTTTTCCCCTCCTTTCTTCTCCATTCTCTTTTATCTCTTACTTTTTCTTTAAAATTGTCTTTTTACTGACCAGGTCTCATTCTGTCATCCAGGCTGGAGTGCTGTGGTATGATTATAGTTCTGTGTAATGTCTGCCTCCTGGGCTCTAGGGATCCTCCTGCCTCAGCCTCTGAAGTAGCTGGGACTGTGACTATAGGTGTGAGGCACGTTGCCTGGATGTTTTCTCTAGTAGACCCACATATATTTGAAGATAGGTGTATCTTATGAGTATTTGCCTGTTCTAAGCAACCTTGATTCCTTTAAATATGTCTCATGTGGCATGCATTCTGATCCTGTTTCAGTTCTATATGCATTCCTTTGGACTTACACTAGTTTCCTTAGGCATTGTGCTTACAATGGAATGTAGTTGTCCGGATGTGGCCTGACTAGCATGGAATATGTCAGCCTGATTACATTCCTTGATATGAATATGATGTTGCTAAAATTCATCCTGAAATTGCTTTTATTTCTTTCACCATAACTATTTTTTACATTAAGTGGAGTTTATGGTAAATTATAAACTTCAGGTGTCTTTCTGACAAACAGCTCTATACCTCTACTTGTTATATTTATCAGTTGATTTATTTCTTTGTTTAATGGTAACTTTATTGAGATATAATTTATCCATTTAAGTATATAAATGAGTAGTTAGTATAGTCACAGAGTTGTGTGGCTATCACCACTACATAATTTTAGAAAATCTTCATCTCTCCAAAAAATCCTGTACCCATTAGCAGTTGCTCCTTATTACCATCTTCCCCCAATCCCTGGCAACCACAAATCTGTTTCTGTCTCTATTGATTTACCTGTTCTGGACATTTCAAATAAATGAAAGCATATAATATGCCTAGCTTCTATCACACAGCACAATGTTTTCAAGTTTCATCATGTTGTTGTTGTATCAGTATTGCATTCCTTTTATTGCTGAATAGTGTTTTTTGTATATATATATATATATACCACATTATGTTTATCAGTTCATTGGTTGGTGGACGTTGAGGTTGTTTCTATTTTTTGGCTATTATGAATAATAATGCTGCTATGAAAATTTGTGCACAAGTTTTTAGATAGAGATATGCTTTTATTTCTCTTGGGTGTATACCTAGAAGTGGAATTGCTGAGTCATATGTTAACTCAGTTGATTTCCTTTAGATAAACATTAATTTATTGCTGTAAATATCAGTTTATTAGGTTTAATCCATTGTCTATACCATTAGTCTAATTTTTAGTGCATTTCTCACATCTGATATGTTAAATAGAAGAATTATCTAGAAATTTAATTTGCCTTTCCTTTCTTTCACATGCTGGTAGTATTCACTATGTAAGGGCCAAGGAGATTGCTCTGTGGCATCTCTTAGTCTTTGTTTTTGGTTATTCAGCTATGAATGCATCCAACTGCAACAAAATCTGGTTCATATTTCTCCATTAAGGCCACA